ACAGACCAAGCTGAGAATATAGAAAATATTAAGGTCTGAACAAAGAGAATTAAAAGATATTAGATATGGACTGTTTATTTTTAGGTATATTTCAGGGATTGACATCACACAAACTATATATTTTTTAAATGTAGTGCAAATTAGAAATCCATAAAAAATGAATAGCTCAAAATATCCCACATAAAATAACCCTTGTGTTAAAAAGAAAATGATGAAATATATAAATCTAAAAATTCAATTTACACAATGGAATTCTATGCAGCTGTAAAAAAGGATCTTTTATCCTTTGAGATAGCATGGAGAGGACCTGAAGAATATTATGCTAAGCGAAGTAAGCCAGTCAGAAAAAGACAAGTGTCACATGATCTCACTTATATGTAGAATTTAATGAACAAAATAAAATGATGAACAAAAAAGATCCAGAGACATTGAAGCAAGCAACAGACTGACATATTTCAGAGGGGGAGAGGGGAGGAGCAGGAAGAGATTAACTAATGCACTTACATGCATATATGCACAGCCCATGGACAGACAGACAACAGTGTGGGGAAGGCCTAGGGAGGGGAAAGGGGTCAGTGGAGTGGAAAAAAAGGGGACATCTGTGATAGTTTCAACAATAAAAATAAATTTTAAAAAGGAAATATATAAATCTAAATAATATAACTGAGCTGATATTACTTCACACCCACTAGAATGTCTGAAATGAGAATCATAGCACTGAATGTTGGTAAGGATGTGGAACAATTAAAATTCTTATATGTACTGTTGATCACAGTAAAAAACTTTACAAACACTTTGGGGAAAAATCTGTTTCTAATCAACATTAAAACATACTCCTACCCTACTCCACGCCTAAGTATTCTCTCAAGAGAAATGAAAATATATAGCCACGAAAAGATTTACACATGGAGGTTTATTTGTGTTGTTGCCGTTGAGATCATTCTTTTTTGTTGTTGTATGGATATACCAGTTTGTTCTCTATTTGTAGAATGATATTTGGATGTTTTCAAATTTTGCTTGTTATGAATAAGGTTGCTATAAATATTCTTGTGGTGGGGTTATACAATTGTATATATTTGTCAAAACTTATAGCAGAATTATGTAATAAAAAGGATTAATTTTACTACATGTAAATTATACTTTAATAAAAACGATGGGGGATCTCATAACTGAATGCTTAAAATGTATTTGTTATAAATTGTGTCTCTATGTAAGTAAATAAGCTAATGCATTTAACCCAGTTGCTGAAAGAAGAGCCACAGAGGAAAAACCCAAAGTAACAACTATGAAGACAAAAAGCAATGTGGAAAAAATCAGTGAAACAGATTAAAACCAAAATCTGTTTCTTTGAAAGAGTCATTAGATTAGTCATTAGATTAGTCAGAGCTCTGACAAGAATGTATACAAGAAGGAGTATGAAAAAATAAACGGAAAGGAATTAACAAAGGAGGCTTAAAAAAAAGTGTTATAACTATACACTAATAGGTTTAAAAGCTTACATGAAATGGGTTAGTATGTAAACTAAATAGTATTTAAAATTTTAAATGGTAGTAAAAGACCTCCACTCCCAACAAATCCCAGGCCAAGATAATTTTACAGGTAAATGCCTCCCATCGTCCACTGTATATTTCCTATCATATACAGGATATTAAAAAAAAAAAATGAAAATAGTGAAAGGGGAAGCAGTTCATTTTATGGGGCTAGTGTGATACTGATTTATAAAACAGATAAGGTAAGATAATGACAATGTTCTGTATCTTGAGAGGGATGTGGATTACTTCAAGTATACACATTTGTCAAAACTCACTGAACTCTTCAGATCTGTACATCTATTTCTTCTGTAAGCCACACACAAAAATCCTACATAATAAAAGCCTAATCTGCAAATAGACCAAACAGCGGAACGACCAGTCGCTATGACACTCAATGCAGGAGCTGCCCCTGGTTATCAGTGCACTCCCACATGGGGAGCGCCACCTAACCAGAAGCCGGGCTCACGGATGGCAAACACGGCGGTGGTGGCGAGAGCTTCTCCCGCCTCTGAGGCAGCACTAAGGAGCAATGAGCCGAGCGGTAAGGAGCAGCGAGCAGGCAGGCAGTAAGGAGTGAGGGGTCCCGGACTGAAAGAGGGTGCAGGCCGGGCTGAGGGGAGCCCCCTTCCCCACCAGTGCACGAATTTTGTGCACTGGGCCTCTAGTCCTAAATAAAATAGTTAATCATGCATTAAGTCCAATAAATATATTTTTGAAAATAGTGTATCATAACCTAGTAGGGTTTATCCTAAAAATGCAAACAGGTTCAACATTTTTAAAAAATCTAACAATATAATTCACATAATAAAAGGAGAAAAATTTTATGTCTTTCAACCAAGAACAAAAAAAGGCCTTCATATAGTTCAACAATATTTATGATTTTTAAACAAACACACAAACAAGCAAACCTCTTAACTAACAAGGAAAAGAAAAGTTCTCCTTTAATTTAGGCATGGTAATAGACACAAAACCTATAGCAAACATTACAATTAATGGAGAAACATTAAATTTTTCTTGAACAAGACCAAGTACTGAAGTTGATGACCACTACAAGGAATAAATATACTGCGGTGTAAGAAATAAAACTCATTTTTGGAACATAATTTATTTATTTATTTTTAGAAAAACCAACAGCAAGACTGTTACATACAAAAAAAAAAGACCAACCTATAAAAATCAAAAGCCTCCTGATAAGCAATAACTAACTATAAAATATAATAATAAATACTTCAGTCACAAAAACTTGAAAGTATTCAGGAATTAGACAAAAAAAATCCACAAAACTAGCCAAAAATTCCTAAGAACTACACTGAAGAAACAATAAATGTGGAGACATTTCATGTACTTAAATGGGACAAGCTAAACTTATAAAAATTCAGTACTCCCCAAATTAATCTATAAATTCAATGCATCCAAGATAAAAATTCCATTTAAATCATTTAAGGAAAAAGATACAAATAAGTTATTATAGAAAAAGAATCCCTAAGTTGCTAACAAGCAAATGAAGAGATGCTCAATTTTATGAAGAAATGAAGGTCCATAATAACTAAATCAACTTTACAAAAGAAGATTTTGTGTGTGTGGTGTGTGTGTGTGTGTGTGTTTAATGTGATACTGGTACTAGAAAACAGACAGAGCACTGGAACATAAGAGAAATTTCAGAGACAGATCGGTATATAAATATATATATATATATATATATATATATATATATATGGCAACTTAATATATGATAAAGTTGGCATCACAAATCAGTGGAAAAATACAAAAGATTTAAGAAGCATCCTATATAATAAAAGCCTAATATGCAAACTGTTCGACCAGGAGTTCAACCGCTCACTATGACATGCACTGACCACAAGGGGTGGCGCAGAACATGGTGGGCGTCAGCGACGCAGTGCTGGCAGTGGGCGGCAGTGGAGGTGCTGCCGACCTGGATGGGCCCTGACAAGAGCAGGACTGCAGCGGGATGGTAGAGCAGGTGAGTGGGTGGCGCCAGGCCAAGGAGGGTGCAAATGGGAGCCCAATCACCCTGCCAATCGCCACAGAGACGGCAACTAGCGGCAGTGACGGGGGCCCCAGCCCCCATCTAACGCCCTGAAGATGGTGATCAGTGGCGGCGGCAGGGGGCAGGGCTGCCTGTCCTTCCATGCCAGATGCTCACACTTTGATCGCCAGCCAGGCCTAGGGACTGCATCCGTGCACAAATTTCATGCACTGGGCCTCTAGTTACTGATAAAGCTGGTTCACTACATGGTAAAAAATAAAACTGGATCCCTATCAACATTATATAAAAGGTGAGGCCTAAATGGACTAAAGAGCAAGTATGACAGTAAAACTATAAAAGAAATAGAAGAAACTGTAGAATATCTTTGTGGAGCAGGGTTGGGGAGAAGTATTTAACTTTTAGAATACCATCAGGATTCACTAGACCCAATTTTAGTTTTCAAGCTTCTTTGTCAAGCAGTTCTAACTATTCGTAAAGATTGCTATTTCAAGACTTTTATTCTTTCTTAGAGATCATCCAAAGAATAAAAATAAAATTTATTTTAAATAGAATAAAATGCTCAAAATAACTGGTGATATAAGGAAAACAATGAGACATTATTTCATACCTATAAGACTACCAAGAATGATGAACCTGGATGATGCCGGTGAATATGAGATGTGGGGATATAAAAACATTCATGCACTCCACTCTGCTGAAAGTGCAAACTGGTTTTGTACAACTGTTCTGAATAGTAGTCTTGTACTATTTCCTCCACCTAAGTCTACACATACCCCATGTTCTAGCAGTTCTGCTCTTGGGAATATACCCTAAATAACTACTCACAAAGTTCTAAAAGAGAACAAGTACAAGAAACTCACTGTAGTGTGAGGCAGTGGGGAGTTGAAAACTACCTAATGTCTATCAGTGAAAAACAAACAGATACACTATTGAGTTTTTTGCTGTAGTCAGAAGCAGTGGATTAATGTACAGATAGGAATATGCATAATAGGGACAAGAGAGAAACAGAGGATAAGAAAGGTAAAAATTATGTAACAGGAGAAAGATACTTCTTTTTACCACTGAAACCTAATATGCTGTATTATATCATAATGCCCCTGAAATGATATATATGCTATATAAGAAATATGGTTCATAAACACTGAATTTTTTTCTATATATTATAAAAATTATAGTAAGGAACTAGAGGCCTGGTGCACAAAATTCATGCACGGGTAGGGCCCCTAGGCGTGGCCGGCAATCAGGGCCAATTGGGGCCTTCCTTCGTTCCAATGCTAGCCCCTGGTGGTCAGCACACGTCATAGTGAGTGGTCGACCTCCCAGTTGGTCAAACTCCTGAGCGGGACAATTTGCATATTAGCCTTTTATTATACAGGCTATTTTTCTGTTAAGCATAAAATATATTTTAGACCATTTAATGTAAGGAAAGAATGTCAAATACAGATTATAATTTCACTCACTTTAGCTCCAACACTGCAGCTCCCAGTGCTCCCGGTGCTCCCAGTTGCAACTCCTGTAAATCTAGCTTCCAATAATTCTTGCCTTCTTGGATCCAGACTATGAAGCTCATCCATTGCACCTAATAAGAAAACAAAGTACACACACAATATATACATATATCTTTAAATATAAACACAAAATACATATATGTGTTTAATTGATATGTCACTAAACTTAATGAATTCTACAAAGAGATGAAAGAGACTTTATAATGTCCACTCTCATTTATCAAAACAACCTACAGTGGATTTCGAACAGTTCTAATTGCAATTCACATTAAGAAATATATTTTCCACCTAACTCAGATACATACATACATATTAAAAAATTCCACAAATACTTCTTACTGCAAACAGTGTACATCAATATTTTCTAGTCTATTCCAGTCTATTAAAAAAGAAAAACACTGGTTGTGAGCTATTAAATTGATTTCATGAAGTTTTTGTATAGTTGATAGTTTTGAATGTTTTCTGTTTCTATCTGGTAGATAAAAAACACACACATAAACAGATCAGTAAGGTAATATCTGTTATTAAACAAGCACCTTGAGAACGAAGGGGAGAAATTAACACCCTCATATAATTGCTACTATGCAGACTAAAGCACCACAAATTTTACCTAAAGTTCAATTAAACTCTTAACAAACTCTTTTATCCATGCTTGCTAATTCTCTGCTGACATGAGTGCTTCTCAAAGGGAGCAAGAAGGGTATTATTACCCGAATCCAGAATCACATGTGGAACATTTTCAAATGATACTGGAGTCCTTCCACACACCCTGACAATCCTCTCCTACAGATTAAGAATTATTCTTATAAACCGTATTTAAAGTTCCCTTCATTCCTTTCTTCTTCATTTGGGCAAAGAACTAGATGGATAATGACCATGCTTCCACATTTATTTGCTTCCCTGTATCTGAATGTCTTCCCTGTGTACTTCTTTTTCCATCTCAAACGGGTAAACTGCCTTTAAAAAGCTTCAAGCCTTTATTTTTTGCTTTTGACCGAAATTCCTTCTAGATATCCAAGAGATCTTGCCTGTGTCTGAATCCCATCTCGTGCACCTGTTCCCTCTTTGCCTCCTTAGGCCTTCATTTATATGTCTTTTTTTTAAAAAAAAAACACTTTCTTGCGCTGCCAGTGTGGCTCAGTGGATGAGTGCTGACCTACGAACCAGGAGGGCACTGTTCTATTCCAAGCAGGGCACATGCTCGGGTTGCGGGCACAATTCCTAGTAGGGGGTGTGCAGGAGGTAGCTGATCAATGATTCTCATCACTGATATTTCTTTCTCTCCTCCCTCCCTTCCTCTCTGAAATAAAAAAGAATATATATATTTAAAAAACAAACAAACTACTGTCTCTTGAATTCTATGCTATTAATATAATTCTTTCCTTAAGTTGGTGATTTATAACCATAACCACCTTAGGTCTCTGGAATCTAATTTCTATTATAAGCATACTTCTGACAAAGTACTCTCACCATCAATGCTTCCACTTTTTTCTTATCCTGCTATTATATCAAAAATTGTTTACTACTCCTTTCGGGGGGGGGGAGGGGGGTGATAAAAAAACACCTCTCAATCCTTGGTTTTTAAAATACACATTCTAGTTTTCAGAATTCAACCATGTCTTTTCTGCTTCTCTGCTTGTTCTCTGTTAGCTATGAATACTACCAAGGGTCAATTCAGGGCTGTCTGCTCTCTTTTCATATCCCCTCACATTTCAAACTGATGATTCTCAAATGAAACACCTAGTATATGACAAGTTAGTCAAGTCTTAAGGTTGGCACTGGAAATAAAGCAGTAATAAGATAGACTGGCCTCAAACAGCTTACAACTCAGAGATTTTGCTATCAATTCTACCTTGCCACAGGATTATTTTGAAAACATTAAATTACATTTAAAAAATAATTACATAGTCGCTATAAATATTCTTGCACAATTACTTTTGTAAACAAATGTTTCATTTTAATACCGATGAGTAGGATGGATCATGAGGATGTTGCATATGAACTATTTAAGAAACTGCCAAAAGTCTCCAAAGTGGTTGTACTATTTAACACTCCTGCGTAATCACCAATATTTGATGTTGACTTTTAAAAATCTGTATTATAGCAGTGTGAAGTGCTACTCAGCTTTGACTTTGATTTGCATTTCCTTGATTACTAATGACATTAGCAACTTTTCATGATCTTACTGGCAATTTGTATATATCTTTACTGTTGATGTTGTTAAGAACACTGTCAAGTCCTCTGCCCAATTTTTTATTAGATTGTTATTTACATGTGGGAATTATTTATGTATTCTAGTTACAAGTCATTGTCAGATCATTAATAGATGATAAGTAGATAGAAAAACAATTTCTCTAAGTCTCTAATATTTTCCCATTTTCTTTATGCTGTTTTGACGAGCAGAAGTGTTTCATTTTGGTGAAATAAAGATTATCTAATTTTTCTATTTTGATTATTATTTTTCTATCCTAAGAAAATTTTGCATGCCTTAAAGTAAAAAAATAGCATCTTTATAAGTTTTGTTTTTCTTTTGAGGTCCACGATTCATCCTAAATTAATATTTGTATATGGTATGAGGTTAAGGATTTCCCCCAATGTATTTTTCCTATTTTATTACCATCATTCATTAAGAAACAAAACAAACAAACAAAAACCAAAACCCAAAATTCTACACCAATAAATAGTCTTGGTGACTCTGTCAGGTCAAAAATAGTAACAAGTATATGTTACTGGTCTACAGACAGACATATAAACCAAAGAAATAAAATAGAAAGCCCAGAAATAAACCCTCACATATATGATCAAATGATTTTCAACAAATGCGCAAAGACCATTCAATGGGGAAAGGACAGTCAACAAAATTTTGTTGGGAAAACTGGATATCCACTTACAAAAATATTAACTTGGGCCCTTATCTTAATATCATATATAAAAATTAACTCAAGCTCTGGCTGGTTTGGCTCAGTGGATAGAGCATTGGCCGGAAGACTGAAGGGTATCAAGTTTGATTCCGATCAAGGGCACATACCTTGGTTGCAGGCTCGATTCCCAGGCCTGGTTGGGTGTGTGCAGGAGGCAACCAATCAATATGTCTCTTTCACATGGATATTTCTGTGTGTCTCTCCCCCTCCCTTCTACTCTGTCTAAAAATTAATGGAAAAATACCCTAAGGTGAGAATTAACAACAGATAAATAAAATTAACTCAAAATGGATCAAATATTTAAACACAAGACACAAAACTAAACATAAGACACAACTCTTAGAAGAAAACATAGGGGAAAACCTTAATGTAATAGGATTTGTCAATGATTTCTTGGATTTTGAAACCAAAAGCACAGGCACTAAAAGAAAAAATAGGTAAGTTGGACTTTATAAAAATTAGAAACTTCTGTGCATCCAACGACACCACAAAGAAAGTAAAAAAGCAGCCCAAAGGATGGGTGAAAATATCTGCAAATCAAATATCTCATAAAGGACTGATACGCAGAATGTATAAAGAAATCCTCCAACTCAACAAGAAAACTAAAACCCAATTTTAAAATGGGCAAAGGACTTAAACAGACATTTCTCCAAAAAAGATATGCAACTGACCAATGAACACATAAAAGGCTCAATATCATTAATCATTAGGGAAATGCAAATCAGAACTACAATGAGATACCACTTTACAACCATTAGGATGGATATTATAAAAAGAAAAAAAAAAGTGTATTAGCTAGGATGTGGAGAAATTTGAACCCTTGTACACTGCTGGAATGTAACCTGGGGCAGTTACGTGAAAAACTGTATGGCATCTCCTCAAAAAATAAAACGTAGAATTACCATATGATTTAGAAAGTCCACTTCTGAGTATAAATCTAGTAGAAGTGAAAGCAAGGACCAGAACAGATATTTGTACATCTCATGTTGATAGCAGCATTATTCACAATAGCCAAAATGGTGAAAGCAACTTTGTCCACAATAAATAAATAAATAGATAAAATGTGGTATATACACAAAATGGAATATTAGTCAGTGTTTAAAAATGAAGGAAATTTTGACACAGGCTGCAACACAGATGAACTTTGAAGATAGTAGTCTAAGTGAAGTAAGCCAGACACAAAAGGACAAATAAGTACTGTCTGATCCCACTTATATGAGATTCCTAGAGTACTCCAATTCACAGAAACTAAAAGTACAATGATGGCTGACAGAGACTGAGGGGCATGGTGGAATGGAAAGTTAGTGTTTAATGGACAGAGCGTTTCAGTTGGGAAAGACAGAAGTTCTGGAGATAGATGTTGGTAATGGTAGTACAACTGAACCATACACCTAAAATTAGTTAACATGGTAAATTTTATATTATGTATATTTTACCACATTCTTAAATTTTTAAAAAGAAAAAAATTGGACTTCATAAAAATTTTAACTTTGCTATTTCAAAAGACATGGTTATAAAAATTAAAACACAAACAAGAGACTAGGAAAACAATGTTTTCAAAATATATACTAGTATGTGCTATATTGCTATATACTATGTCCATTCCTTAGCTTGGTAATAGATTTGATGGCCGAGAAATTTAGTAGAGAAGATGAGGACATCTCATCAGTCCCCACTTTGACCTGGATCAGCTTATAATGTAGTATTTTGTTTCCCATCATTTTTTTCTTAGATGTATAGCTTTCTCTAGGACTTCCTCCTCCCCCATGAGATCCAAGGCAAAAAAACAAGACAAAACAAAAAACACACACAATGTTTCTAACTGAAAACTCTTACTAGGGTTTCCAATCTCACTATAGTCCTTAATACCTTCTAACAAGTTTTTACGACATTTTAAAGAGGCAATATATGCAAGAGCCCCTAGTATAACCCCTGGCACATAATAGATGCTTAACAAGTACTAGTGTACCTATCTAAAAAGCTAACCTTGAATATACTAAAGTCTGCTTCTCTAAATGTAGTCCCATCTGTCATCACCTCAGATGCTTACAAGGAATACAAAATCCTGGGTCCCACCTCAGGCCTATCACATCAGAATCTGCATTTTAACTACATCCTCATGTAATTACTTTGTGCATTCATGTTAGAGA